CAGACACACGTATTCCTAAAGAAACTGAGCTTTAACTTTTACTGTGCAGTCATCCAAAACCCACTGAAGTCAGAAAAGACTCCCCTGAGATTTAGAGCAGGTCCTCACTTTCCTTCATGAGGGGCAGACCTGCTCTGTCTTGGAACACTTTATCCTATAATAATTCCACCCTACTGCCCCCCTTCCCCTGCTATGCCCATTCCCTCTCTCCCTGCCCCCTGCTATGCCTCTGCTCCCTCCCCATGCCACACGTCTGCTCCCTACCCATGTGATACCCATGCCCCCAGCCCTAGCAATGTTGTGAGCTCACCTCCCAGTTCAGAGCCCTTCTCCCTGCCCACCTTTTCCCAATGTTTCATGAATACAGAGTTCATGTTTTGTAAAACCAAACAGGTGTGTTTATTTGGAGGTCAGGGAAGGGGCAAAGGGAGGGGTTGTGGTAGGGAAGGGATAGAGCAGAAAGCCAGAGGTCCCTAGTGGGGAGGTGTGGGGAGAGTTACTGGGGTGCTTGAGAGATTCTCTCCCTTAGGGCCTCCTGGAATGCACACCCTGGCCTGATGGGCTTGGCGGATAGCAGCTGTCCACAGCTGCTGGAAGGCTCACCCCTCATCGCTAGCGTCTGCCCCCTGCCCCAAGGCCAAAACAATGAAGTGAAAATTCATAGCTAGACAGCTGGAATCAGATGCTAGCACTGATGTGAGATTCTTGCCAGGATTCCACACAGGATTCTCTTTGTTGAAAAGCCAACACATCTCCTCTTGCAGTCAGCGCTATTCATAGATTCCTTTCAGAGTTAGTGACAATAAATATTATAAATCGCACAAATCCAGATGGCGGGGGTTATAGTTGCCAGCCATTCAACTCCTTGTGAGTTCTCTCTCTTGTCCTGCAGCTTTGCACACACAAAAAGCTAATCAGTCTCCTCAAGTCCTGCTGTGATTATTTTTAAGCCACCCTTCAGTCACCCACAGATGTTGTCAACACTGGGTATATAAGAAGTGTAGAAGCACAGCAAATTGGTAGTAGGAAATCAAAGATTTGGCCACCATACATGTTTTCCAATGGTGGCCCTTAACCTCTTGAAAATAAGAGCATCCCAATTTCTTACACTTGAAGAGAGATTGCTTCAGGAACTCTACCTATATGTGCTGGTTTTTTTTTTAATAAATAATTCTTGCGTGGCACATTTTCCTGATATTTACTGCTGCAGAAAGAAGGGGAAACTGCTACTGAATACACATATCTAGCTTCAGAAACTAAATTACTATTGCAACTATTTCTGATATTTTCCATCAAATTGTAAGACTCCTGATTATGATTTGTTTTTATCTTTGACAATTTGCTAAAAGGTGCATAATAATCATCCAACCATAGTTCATTATTATGTTTATTACAGAAGCCCAATAGAGAGCAGGACAATATCCATTTCACTAGGCTGTCTGGAAATATATATATAGCTAGTCCCTGACCCAATGAGTATACAATTTAAATACACAAAGAGATAAAGATTTGGATTGAGGAAAGAGCTATAACATACAGGGTATGTCCAGACTACAGAGTTTTGTTGGAATAATGGCCATTTTTCCAACAAAACCTAAGTTATGTCCACACTGCAAGTGCATTTTTTCTACAGTAAATTGAAAGAACAGAGGGGTTTTGTGCAATTAGTAATCCTCATTCTATGAGGAAGAAGCCTTTTTGTGAAAGAGCTCTTTTGCAAAAAGGTATGTGTGGATGAGGAGGAGGGTTTTTTTGTGCAAGAAGAGGCCTCCAGGAAAAAGCACAGGTGGCTGGACAGGCCCAGACATTGTGTCCCTCCTCAAGCTGTAGGACAAGAAGGAGACTTTACAAGATCCCCAAGCCAAGCGGTGGAACACCGAAATTTATGGCTGGATGGTCACCTCCCTGGCGGAGTGCGAACACCCACCCCAGGCCATGCAGCAGGTTTGGAGTAAAGTTAAAGAGCTCCGCCAGGGATATGTCCAGGCCACTGAGGCCAGCTCCCACTCAGGGGCAGGACCCCACACTTGCCCCTACTTCAGTCTTTCCCACCCATCCTGATGGACTCCGAAGTTGAGACCCATTATCATCCAGCTGGAGGTAGCCCCAGAGGAGGGGCAGGAGGGCTAGGGCCAGCCGGCTGCACTGGAGAAGGAGGAGCAGGAGGAGAGCAAGGAGGAAGTCCCTGAAGCCGGTGTCAGTGACCCAAGACGTCTCCCAGGTCTCCTTGGATGCTTGGGAGGGATCTTCAGGTGAGTGGTCTCACAGACATACCCACCTTCTACAGTGGTAGAAGCCATATTTTGATAAGGTAATAGCCTGCAAGACAAAGCAGACACACGTATTCCTAAAGAAACTGAGCTTTAACTTTTACTGTGCAGTCATCCAAAACCCACTGAAGTCAGAAAAGACTCCCCTGAGATTTAGAGCAGGTCCTCACTTTCCTTCATGAGGGGCAGACCTGCTCTGTCTTGGAACACTTTATCCTATAATAATTCCACCCTACTGCCCCCCTTCCCCTGCTATGCCCATTCCCTCTCTCCCTGCCCCCTGCTATGCCTCTGCTCCCTCCCCATGCCACACGTCTGCTCCCTACCCATGTGATACCCATGCCCCCAGCCCTAGCAATGTTGTGAGCTCACCTCCCAGTTCAGAGCCCTTCTCCCTGCCCACCTTTTCCCAATGTTTCATGAATACAGAGTTCATGTTTTGTAAAACCAAACAGGTGTGTTTATTTGGAGGTCAGGGAAGGGGCAAAGGGAGGGGTTGTGGTAGGGAAGGGATAGAGCAGAAAGCCAGAGGTCCCTAGTGGGGAGGTGTGGGGAGAGTTACTGGGGTGCTTGAGAGATTCTCTCCCTTAGGGCCTCCTGGAATGCACACCCTGGCCTGATGGGCTTGGCGGATAGCAGCTGTCCACAGCTGCTGGAAGGCTCACCCCTCATCGCTAGCGTCTGCCCCCTGCCCCAAGAGGAAGGCCTCCCTCTTCTTCTCCACAATATTGTGGAGGATGCAACATGCCACCACCACCTCAGGGATGTAGTGCTCCTCTATGTCGAGGATGGTGAGGAGGAACTGGAAATGTATCTTAATCCGGCCAAACGCGTACTCCTGGCTTGGTTCAAGTGGGCATTAATTTGCTCCCTGCTGGGATCCAGGTGGCCGGTTTATGGTTTCATTAACAATGGCATGAGGAGGTATGCTGCATCCCCCACTATGCACAGTGGCATGTGCACATCCCTGACTGCAAAGTCCCAGCGGGGGGAAGAATGTGCCGGCTTCCAGCTTCTGTACAGGCTTGAGCTCCAAAAGACTCGGGCATCATGTGCCCTGCTCGACCACCCTACAAAAATGTTGGTAAATTACCCCTGGTGGTCCACTAGGGCCTGTAGGACAAAGGAAAAGTAGCCCTTTCGGTTAATACTTTGGGCCATTTGATGGTCCAGTGCTTGGATGGGAATGTGGGGCCCATCAATGGCTCCCCCTGCTGTTGGGGAACCCCAGGGTGGCAAATCCAGCCACAATCATGTCCAGGTCTCCGAGACGGATGACCCTCTGCAGCAGGATAGAGTTGATGGCCCTCACAACCTGCACAAGGAGACAAAGAAACACACAAAACAGAGAATGAGAGAGAGGGGGTGCCCGAGCCCTTGGGAGGCGGCCATTCTGCTCCCCTACAAAACACCCCAGGAGCCACCCCCTATGAGGTGCTCACCCCCACCCCAGCAGCAGGGCTATGTGAGGGTGGGACAGCACAAGCCCCCAGGCATGGGGCTTTCTCCCCCATCCCCACTTCACCCCCCCC